TGCAGAAAGGGATGGTGTTTGTTCAGCCTGACATTTCACAGCTTTGCCTCTAAATTCCCATTCCTCTGGGGAAACAACAGTAGGACATGGGACAGCGAGCGTGAAATGAAGTGGACAACTTTTATTTCTATTTTTATTTCTAATGCACTTGAAGAGAAAGTGTGCTGAAATAGGGTGTAGCTGAGAATTAATTCACTAAAAAGAAAGTCTGGCAGTCGCACACCTTTGTGTTTTGAAATATTGTGCAAAAACTGCTTATTTCTATTAAACAGCGTCTTCTTGCAAAAAATCCATTCCTCTTTCATTTTGCTATTGTGTCTCAAAGTGCATTCCTTAACAACTTCTCAAAAGGTTGTCTTTGCCTGAAATCTTCCAAAATATATGGAGCACTTTACAACAAGAGGTTTTGTATAGGTTTGATCCCTCCTCCAGACCTTTTTGCATGGAGTTTGCATGTTTCCCCCTGTGGATTTGTAAGTAAAGTAAGTCATGTTTATTTATTTATTTATTTGTAACGTTGCTTCGGGTGCTCCTGGTTCCCCTACCACTAAAACATGTACAATAGCACCTCACTTCCATCTCTGTGTGGAAAGAGAAAGAACAAATGCCCAGAAGTACTGGAAAGTGCTTTCTGGCTTTATATCTGTGAGCTATATAAAGATGACTTACTTACTTTCCATTTAGGTTGGAAACACATGTGACATCACTAGGCTTGATTTAAAATGTATTTCTGTGGAAAGTAAAATCATTCATAATTAAAGAATGTACATATTTTGAACCACACTGAGTGACATTCAGAGCCATGCACTTGTATAAATCAATGGATGAACTTTGCCAGAGTTAAGTATTGCACCTTTTAATGACTAATTTAAACATCTGCCCAACTAATGCACCGTCTGGTTTTTCTGTGATCCACAAAGTACAGCGCTTCAGTTCAATCGTGTCCTCCTATACTGCTCTTATTTCATTTCGACAGACGGTGTCAGGAGTGTTTTTACAGTTTGTCCTTCCTGCCAATGCTTTTTCGAGCCGTGTGCATGAAGTGTAAAAGAGCAGCTTGAGTAGAGTATTCTGAGCAGGGCTGATGCGCATGGACCTCATCATGGCCGACCTGAGTAGATGAAGCAGAGATGTCAAACAGCAGCCCTCACACTCTGCACAGCTGAGTGGGCCCTCAAACTGACACTGCTAAGTCAGCCCATCCACCGGCGCTACCACTGTCAGACTCCATCCACGTCTCTGTCTCACTTTGGACCCAGGTTGTGCAGCTTGCTCAGCCTGCTGGGAGATGGAGTTTGCTCCACTTAAAAGACTTCACTCTGTTTCTTTAACCCTAACCCATCGGTTGGCATTCTGGCAACCTTTCTGACAACTGTGGACAGTAATCTGAAATCCAAACGACTATTCCATTAGTAAATCATTCAATGGTAAAGCTTGCGACTAAAGCTATGGAGTGGCAAGAAGTTTGAGTAACAGTTAAACAACATGTTTAACCGTTTTGGGGTATTACTAATTTAGATTTAAGAAAATCAAATACTTGTCGTTGATATTCTGAAAGCAAAATATCTTTGATTGGAAATTTTGCGAACCACAATTCTTAACTAAATCAACCTTTTGTCGCAGCTCTTATAAGGACAACAATCGATTTGATTTAGTTCTTACCCAAAAGAACTGCTTCTGACCCATGTAGCTCCTGAGCATTGATTATAGATGTAAGCAACCTGCTGAGGTTTGGCTCCAAATCAGACAAACGCTGTGTGCTACTTACTTTCTACCTGCTTTCATTTAAACAAATGTGTTTGCTTGACACACAACAGTATCTCGGACCTGCCTGGTGTGTTCCTTTGTCTTCATGGTTCTCTCTGCGCTTTAAACAGAACCCTGAGACTATCAAAGAGCAGGTTTGATTACACACAGGTGCATTCTATTTATCATCATCAGTCATTTAGGACAACATTGGATCATTCAAAGATCCTCACTGAACTTCTGGAGTGAGTTTGCTGCACTGAAAGTAAAGGGGCTGAATAATATTGCACGCCCCACTTTTCAGTTTTTTATTTGTTAAAAAAGTTTAAATTATCCAACAAATTTCATTCCACTTCACGATTGTGTCCCACTTGTTGTAGATTCATGACAAAAAATAATTTTTTTATATCTTTATGTTTGAAGCCTGAAATGTGGCAAAATGTTGAAAGGTTCAAGGGGGCCGAATACTTTCGCAAGGCACTGTAGTAAGGAAATGTTGCATATTTTGCATATTACACTACTTTTATTTTATTATTTTATTTATTATTTATTATCTAATCGCTCTGTGTGTCATGCAATAAACGCAAAAGCAATGAAAGAATAGTGTGCATGCGTGAACTGAAATAGCTCTGTCCAAAATGTCACACAAGGGTCTTTGAATAATATGCTGTGGACGTGCAGCGTGTGAGGCTGTCTGGGGCACCGTCTCTGTAATTGAATTGCCTAAACAAGGACGCTCTCTGGTGTCTGGGGTCTTTGAAGTGCATTGTCGGCGCTCGAATGACACCAGACAAGACATTGCTTGTAAAGGTTAAGACACCTTTTTGTCTATGATGACAAGGATATTTTTTAAAGTTGACATGTTTGGCAAACTGGGAGTAAAGCAGGTCAAAGAAGAGGAGCTGATGTATGAGAGTGCATTAGGACAAATAAAAGAATTGGATTCATGAATGATGCATAGATTTAATTATTCTCTTCAGGGCACTTCAATCATACAGGTAAACACACAGAAATGTTGAGAAAGGAGATTGAAGGAAAAGGCACAGAGGGACTTTATTATGTTGGGAACCTATTGGATTTTTTTTCTTAGGAGATTGGAGGAAAATATTTAATTTACTGAAGGAGTACAGGATTGTAAAGTATAAAGCCTTTGAGGATGAGAGAAGAGAAAAGTGCTTTCTGTAGAATTAACTCCACTTTGTTGTATGATATGGCAAGAGTAGGACAAGTTTTCATCTTGTCACAGCTGTGATTGTAGATGTATGAGAACATTTGTTCATATTACAACAGTGAAAGTTTCTGTGCCTATACAATCAATGAGCGAAGAGAATTGATTTCTGCACCGTTTTGCTGCACGTGTGTCTTTCACAAGTTGCTTCTTGAACGCTATGATTTTGGGAAGTCGGGAGATAACGTAGATATCTCAAATTTTCTGAGATCACATGAATGCAGCACTAACAGTAGAGCAGTCGGTGAAGAAGAGCCGCAAAACATGATTGCAGATAATTATTTTAGTAATTTAAATCGCAATTATGAAAAACATGTAGCAAAAATGTACCAAGTGCTCCCATACAACTGAATTTAAAAAATTTTAGCCCCTGCCCTCTTGTCTTGTGGTTGGATGTCCCCATGGAGTGTCTCACCTGAGCTCCCTGGGTGACTAATGTTGTCTTATTAGTCTGTCACCCCTCTTTTGCTGAGGTAGGCCCATTTTTATTCTGCGTTTATACATAAGCAATGAGGAGTCATCAATCATGGCACTTTATGGGTGGCTGAAGGGATGATCTGCACTGTCAGGAAGGCAACATATTCCTCCATAAACTTGAACCAACTCTGGAAGTACTTATTTTGCATACAGATCAATTTATTTTGAAAGTGCCATTTTATTCCACACATTTCCTTGCATTTAAAGTTGCTCACTTCATCTATAGAATGCATTTTGTCTCAAAGCTCCCCCAGCAACTTTGGACTTTAAATTTAGATTTGAAAAGGTTCGGTTGAAAAAGGCCTGTGTCAGTATAAGGAGAAAGCTTTGGATTAAAATACACATTCCCTATGTCTTCCCATGGCAACAATAGGCTTATTTTAAAGTCAGCTCGAGTGACTCCCATTTATCTTTGTTCAGTTCAACTAGAAAGGTGAAATGTATTGATTTAGAAGTGCTGTGTTTGCAGAATTCCGACTCACTAATGAAATGCTTAAGGTGGTTCATCGCTCCTGCTGAATAATCATTATACTTCTCGGTATATCTGTCCGTGTCACACTTCCATTTCCATTTGCAGATTTACTGACCAGACATCCTACCCTGCGTGCCACTAAACACTATAATTGGTGTATAAGCATGTTGTCCACAACATGACTCCTGCTCGTTTGAAATGTTCCTTTGGTTATAATCTTCCACAGTATTGAACGTATGGAACCTCATGGAGAATGTTTGGAAGTATGATTTTACTGTTCATGGACACATTCCACCAATAGAAAGTTGGACAGGGTTGCTAATTAGAAAGACAACGGACAAATTGACAATGTTAACGTCACTTCCAAACTATCGGGGAAATAGTTGATCGTTCAACTATTTTCATATTTATGGTAAGTTCCTAGCAGCAAGATGGTTTGCAGATTTGATTCGTGGGAGTGTTGTCCCAGGTCAACAACACCCAAAAAATGCACTCAAGTAATAAGAGGTCAAGTTCAAGTTCAGAGGACAGATTTTCCTATTACTACTATAAAATATACTGTAACCTTAATGCCACTTCTACAGTACATGTATTCACAAATAGAATCATTTTAAAAGGGTCAATCTTTATCCCCACAATATGCAGCTTAAGTGTAAGTTCAGACTGGTAGACTATCCAAGCAAGTTATCACACCAGGCTAGCCCCATCCTTCCCCAGCCTATCACATCAGCTTTGTGAACTCCCCGGCCACCCGTGCCAATAAAGCCAGCGCTTAAAAGCAGGACGCCTCACACCAAACAGCCTTTCAAGCCACAACCACCTCCGCCTCAGGATTTCATTGCATGCTCACATCCACCTTGCTCTGTTGCCACCACCTTTGCTCAGGCCCCTGGGGATCATAACCTGCACTCAAGCAGCACTCACAAAGCAAGGCCACAGCCCAGCCTTTGCGCCAAACTAATAAACTACAAACAAACTTGAAATCAATATATCTTTTACAATATAGCCTCTCCAGATTGAAGAAGCTATGTGGGCAAACAGAAATCTTAACTTGTAATTTCCTTGTTTCTCTCACAGACATGGACTTGAACTACTTCTGGAAGTGGAGCATGTTCGAAGACTATCTACTTTGCTGTTTTGGCTTCACGGTGCTGTGTGCGGTGGTCACTTTTCTGCTGCTGGACTCTTCTCTGTTCGTGGAGGCGCTGGGATCCCTGGCTCTCCTGTTCGAAGCGATGCTGGGCCTTCCACAGCTGCTGCAGAACTTAAACAACCAATCAACAAGAGGAATGAGGTACCTACTTAAAGTCATGGGTCGCAACATGACATTTTAAGTAATGTGATTGTTTAAGTCCATTGTTAGACAGATTTACGACTTCATTTGGTAGATTAAAAAACCTAAAAACTACCCTTGAGCTCAAGTGAGGTCTGGAGCTCACTTGCGAGCGAGGGTGATCTCATGATGCATTACGATAGCTGTTGGTAAAGCCGCGCCAAAATGAAAGAAAACAACATAAAACACCCGGGCGCAAGTTTGTACGGAACGGGAGGACGCTCCGATGCGTGTGTAAGTTATTCAGAGTTTTTAAAGCGTGTGTGGTGACGTTTGCTCCCAAAGCGGCCGCGGCGTTCACTGAGGCTTCAGAGACATGGATCCATGTTATTATTACAAATCCATGTTGTAGTTCAGAGCATCGCTTTGACAGTTTGCTTTGTGATCCGTGGGACTGCGGCTGTAACCGTCTGTCTCTGTGTGGTACGTCTCTGTGCGCATACGTGTATATGCATGTTTCTGTCTCTGTGGGGTACGCGCGTGTGTCTGTCTGTGGTGCGTCTTTGTGCGCATATGTACATGCGTCTGTATGCGTGTGTGTGTGTGTCTGTCTCTATGTGTGTACATGCGTCTGTATGCGTGTGTGTGTGTGTCTGTCTCTATGTGTGTACATGCGTCTGTATGCGTGTGTGTGTGTGTCTGTCTCTATGTGTGTACATGCGTCTGTATGCGTGTGTGTGTGTGTCTGTCTCTGAGTGCGTGATGTGCAGCAGTTCTGTATCTAATTAAAGCAAAACTTCATATGAAATAGAATTTAAAACTTCTCATTTTAATAAATACTGTGTTTCATTAAGTCATATCTGTGTCAGATCTTATCTGTGGTAAAATTAGACACATTGATAATGCGTGTGACGTGGAACACGTCTGCTGCGTCATTTGCATATTGTCCCCTATCCAGGGGTGTCCCAATTGTTGTGCGTGCACTCACCACTGGGAAGGCACTTTTCTGGTGAGGGCACTCACACCTGAGGGTAAGGGTGAGAATTGGGACAGGGCCTTACTATCTTGTAATGTAAACAGGCCTTTGTATTTAACCAAATCTAGCTGAAGAATAATATTATTGTTAATATATTTTTTTGAATGCTCTGACTTTGCAAACCAGATAGTTGCCCAGAGACAGAGCGTAGATTAATCTGAAAGCAGGGGGGTAGACAAGATTGTTCTGAAATACATTGACTAAAAGAGGCATTTTTCTCACTCCCGAAATAGAAAGGAAGATTACTGCCATAAGGGTTTATACGTGCCGTACTCATCAGTTGTAAGAAATGAGAATAATGACTCTATTACACGGATGTTCAGTATTAAATTAAGTTATAAGTGCTCCCCGTCAGTCAGTGTTAAGGATATATTCATTTTTCCGGACGAAATTGGGTTCAAAATGCTGTATTCATAGACTCATTCAGTAATCCAGTCATTGTTCATTTCCTTTTCAATAGCCTGTGACTAATTCAATTATAAGTTAGTATAATATTATGATAAAAATTAGTTTGGAGGCAGAGATTTTTACACCTTTTCAAAAGGATTTATTGTATTATATTTAAAGTTCAAATGGTCACTAACTGTCGGTGTAAAAGATTGATAGCATGGTACCCTGTGTCTTTGTGCACCGGTCAGGGATGTAGATCCTTTTTTATCTTGTGATATCAACGAGGCCACTGCTTTCATACTACAAAACTTTTCCTTTATTTTTTTTAATCACTTCAGAGTTTTAAGTAGCAATATGTATTTTTTGCATGCCATCATTAAATGGCCCCAATATTTACTGTAAATCATGCTCTTTTCGAATACATCTTTAACTGATAACATTAGTTCAACCGAACGACCCGTAAAAGTTGTTAGTGTTTTGATTAGATGTCCTACCCTTCGCCGTTTCGCCAATCAGGAAGTCCGACATCCGGGTTGCCAGAACTCCTCGCGGCTAATCTTATTGGTAAAATAACATGTGACCACAGAACTAAAAGGGGTCTTATTATGACTCTCAAATCATTAAGGACAAAACAAAGACTAAAACGAGGATTTATATTGGGAGGCCTTTGAAAACTTGACAGCGAATACGTTTTTGTGTGATGCAAAACTTGCTGGATTTACTAAGTTTCCCTCCGTGTAAAGTGTTGTGTCCAATGGTAGCCTAGTGGTTAAGGGATTGAGTCCGGGTAGTGTCTACTTGAATAATATTACCTTTTTTTGACAGATTGCTCAAAATCAGGTAGAAGACAATAATCAAGACGTTTTTTGCAGATTATAGCTTATTTGTAAAAAGAATAATTTGATATCACATGATACCACTTTTGGCCATATTTTTACATACTGCTCCTTTAAAATAGCCTGAAAAGAGCCAAGCATATATCATAAAGCTGTTTAATTGGAACGTTATTGGTCTGTTGTCTCTCAGAATTCTATTCATCAACATTTAGCGGTATTTATCAACCATTATGGACATTGGTCATCTGCCACTTACAGTATGTGCCAATACCAATCCGTTTTCAGTTTATTTCTTGTATTTGAACTCTTTGATTCTCTGATCCGTGCTGGCAAATTCAACGGTTGTGTAAAGGCCTCCGAGATAAATACTGTTGTGATTTAGGACTATACAAGAATGAATTAAATTGAGTAAATTGAATTGAACTCTTCAAACCTCCTCTGGAAGCTCTCAAATCATGCCTACTACTTTTTCCAAGGCCTATATTGACATCCAGCTGGTCTCCAGCCTTTGATCTTCCTCTTTAATCTGAAAATGTAATAAATGAGCATTCCATTCAAGTACATTTACAAAAAGTTCATAGTTTTCTTTTGCTGAATACAGATGCTTTGTTGAGATTATGTAAGTGTCCATTTTTTCTGATCCATACTTGCCCTGTGAGCCCTCCTCACCTCTGCTGCTGCATGTTCTAGGACTAAAATAGCAGGAGAGTACAATACATGACCTAGCTCCACCCAGAGGTCAGAGTCTTGCTGTGATTAAAATAATGCCCTATTTTCACAGTAGGCAGTGTGTAAAGGTCATACATACTGTTTAGCCTTGCAGGTAGAAAACTATCAGATCAATTACGCCCCTAATGGCACAGAACCTCATTCTAATTATGAACATTATTCCTCCATTATGTCCCTTGTCTGTCATCACTGGTGAGAAGGTGTACGTCCTGCACCATGTGGCTGTGCAGGGATTGTTCATAAAGAATAAATCACATGCTCCACTAAGCTGTGAAAAAGATCACTTCTGAACAGCACTGGGTTGGAACAAAAGGTGACTGAAAGTTGCTGGTTATATTTCTTTCTTCTTGTCTTTTCTAAGAACTGTACAACTGAAGATTATTTTTCTGGACTGTTCTTCTTATCGTTGTGGCTCAGAGTTGGCGCACCAAAAAGAAACTCTTCTTTTTGCCAAAAAAGAATTAATTAAGACATTATAAAATCCCTCCTAAAACATGGTAGTTCACACTTGTCAACAAAGCCTCCGACCAAAGCAGAGCCCACTAGAAAACAATGTTTACAATCATGTGACCTTTATATGTCATATAACCACACTTTGATTACCTTTAAAATGCCACGACGCCGTGTTTGTTAGGCTCTTGATGCTATCGCCTTTTCTTTTTACCTTCTTCCCCAAGGCCCCATTACTGAAGTGTGCAGTGCCTGTTTAGCTCATTGGCTGATTACACATAGGACTTCAAAAAAAAGAACCTACATGTAATGTGCGTCCATATCCTGTGTAAACTCTCTGCACCATTGTGTCTGCATGTTTCCACTCTCTGCACCATTGTAACAGCACAGGGAGGGAACGTAGATGTAGTCTGCGTTGTTGGAAATAGTGACAAAAGTGGTCAGGGTTAGCGCCCCTTGTGGTGGTCATCAGTATTACCTTATAGCGGACAGGCAGACAGCCAGCCATTTACTTCTCTGAAATGATAGTATGGAAATTACAGACACATCGTGTTAGATATATCATAGATAATTCATTTGAAAGTTGTCTTTCCCTTAGTGTCAAAGCTGATTTGTTTGTACACAAATTCACTTTGGAGAGACCCAAGAGGGAAAATGCAGTTAGAAGTTTGTTGATTGAGTATGTTTGGCGCCCTAGGCCCGGGAGAGATGCTGATGAGTGCGGCGCTTGCTCGCGCGCATAATCCCCCCCCGGGGCCTAGGCACTGGTGACGGCAGAGGCAGTAGGCAAGCACGCTTCGATGAGAGAAGGAGGAGGTGGGGCGGCGGAGGCTTTGCAAACTTCAGAAGGCCGGGAAAGTGGGCGTCTCCGGCTTTTAACTTGCTGTCCTGGTGGTTATTGGTGGACTAGATGTGGGCGTTTTGCTGGTGTAATGAGTAGAGGATGAGCAGGCTTGTAGATCTGGCAGCAGTGGCCGGGTCTACCACAGTGAACTTTCGCGAAGAGCTTCATTTCACTTTGGAGAGACCCAAGAGGGAAAATGCAGTTAGAAGTTTGTTGATTGAGTATGTTTGGCGCCCTAGGCCCGGGAGAGATGCTGATGAGTGCGGCGCTTGCTCGCGCGCATAATCCCCAAAAACGGGCAGAGTTATCTTTGCGCGCCGGGACGTGAGCGCTCGCTTCACGATCAACCGGACGCTGCCTGGGACGTGAGCGCTCGCATCACGATCGATACCAGACGCTGCAGTGGAGTTATCTTTAAGCGCCGGGACGTGAGCACTCGCATCACGATCAACCGGACGCTGTCTGGGACGTGAGCGCTCGCATCACGATCGATACCAGACGCTGTAGCAGAGTTATCTTTGAGCACCGGGACGTGAGCGCTCGCATCACGATCAACCGGACGCTGTCTGGGACGTGAGCGCTCGCATCACGATCGATACCAGACGCTGTAGCAGAGTTATCTTTGAGCGCCGGGACGTGAGCGCTCGCATCACGATCAACCGGACGCTGTCTGGGACGTGAGCGCTCGCATCACGATCGATACCAGACGCTGTAGCAGAGTTGTCTTTGAGCGCCG